CAATATCTTACTCAATTATTATATTCTATCAATATGTTTACTATTTTGAAGTTATCCGGTTATTTTTCCTCCATTCTCTAACACAAAAGAATTGAAAATTCTACCACATCAAGTTAATGTTTACAAAAGATAATACTTTTGAATAATTTCTTTTAAATTATTTTTCAACAAGATGATATCATTATATTAATAGAAATATTATATTTGTGATCCTAAATTGAGTAATTTTAATGATTAATGAATATTTTGAATAAATTAATGAACTATTTCATTTCATTTTTTCGGGAGTATTGAAATTAGTATAAAAAGAAACTACCAAGCCTCTAACCTCCTCATATTATGCAATATTCAATAACAAGTCAACCTAGTGATTGCTACGATGGTTTCATCTAATACATTCATCATTTTCAACTTCAGTTGAATACAATTCTTAGGAAATAAGTATCATGTTTTTGAACCCTTTACTTGACAATTCTATATGAGAACAATGCAAACAACATTTTTGCTCTTTTTTTACCCTTTCCGAGCTACCAAACCAAATCTCTTAACCAGTTAATCTAACTCTACTTTTAAATAACACTTTCTTAGGCTCATCAAACAAAGCTCCATCCTTAAATTACATCAATGACTTTATATCATTATTTATATCATCTCCACTATACTAAATAAGTGGAATTAGCCCAATCGACAAATTAGATTATTTATGTTCAATTTAGAAATTATCTAAAGTATAATTCAATTATTCCTAAAGTTGTCAGGATATTGCCCATCTTATCTTTCAAACTCCTCATTCATATTAAAAATAGTTCTGTTAATCTACTTCAGCATTATAACTTTTTCTTTTAAACTATATTTAATATTTTCTCCAGGCAATTTTTAGCTATGTTTCAACCATCAAGGATTGCTTCCCAATTACTTTTTATAATAAACCTTTTATATATTTTCTATTGTTAGATTTGGCTATTTAAAACATAATCTAAAAAAAGCAATAAATTTAGCAGAAAAATGCAAATTTAAAGATAAAGCAGCTTCCTTAAATTTTTATGCTACATTTTAGGCTAAAAAAGAGATCAACATTTTAGAGTTAATATTTGTCATACAAAAAATAAAAGAACATAATAAAGAAGTACCAGAATACATCCATTTACTTTCCTACTCTCTCATAAATCCTCTCATTCTCTTGTAAGAAAAAGGTGAGTGATAGTTGATACACCAATTAAGGGTAGTAATCTAATTTTTGTCTAGGCTGGAATTATTTCTCTAAGTAAACAAATGCATGAAAGTTCAAGGGATTAGGAAGGTGAAATTTTTTAGGTTTTCATGAGATATTTGAGTTTTTCATTTAGCGTTAATTATGTTTTTGCTAAATCTAATTATTTTTTTAAACAAAATTTATAATTAAATGATTGATCAATAATCAAAATTAGGCTCATATCATCATCCGCTTGTTATAATTAATAATTAAAAACTCAGGTCGCTTATTTTCATACAAGAGGCTAAAAGTGCCAGTGAGAAATTTGTTCCTACAAAGTCTGATTAATTAAGTCTAACATATGAACGAAGCTTCATCACATCGATTATTTTCTATTAAATATACAATAATAAATAAGCGCACTTATAATTACTTTTTTTCATCTTTTTAACAAAAAAAACAATAAATATTTCTAAAATTAACAAATTGTTATTGAATCAACAATTCATTTTTACAATAATAATAATGGTAACTAGATAATTCTTTTGATTATTAAAAACTTAAAACTTATTTGTAGTAATTATTTATTTATATCAAAATAGATTCTGAAATATTAAATATATAACCCCTACTTGTAATTGTTATTCCAAATTATGATAATAACCTATTCAGTACATTTTGAATAGTTTGAAATGTATAATTTCAATAATTCCTAAATGGTATTTCTGTTGAGACTTTAATCTAATAAATAAATTCTAAACTGGTGATTTCATCTTTTTTTTATTACAAATTGGAAGTCTGAATACTTAAATTATTCTATTTATCATTTTATTCCTAGATTTTGATATCTTATTATAGTAAAAGTTTCTAATTATAAATTGATTTTATTGAGATTTGAAATAATTATTAATTTAAAAAACAATAAATAGAAATGTAGGAGAAAGTAGATTAAATAAATTAAGAATGCAACAGTAAAGCCTAAGACATCATTTACAAATCTGTAATAAGAAGTAGAGGTAAAAAAATTAATTGATGAAAAAATAGAATTCATTCAATAGAATAGATGCATAACTTGATTAGCTTATTAATGATAAGAGTAATTTGATGTAGATATTACCATCATAATATATTGTGATTAAAAGTTGACATCATCACATCTTATAATTCCTTCAATGTACTAAAATTGTTCAATTTTTCTCTACATTAAAACATTTATTATTCCACGCGTATAAAAGACTGGAACACTTAATTTATTTGAAAAGGGCTTTGTTGAAAAATATTATAATAAAGATTATGTTCTAGATTTCCTTTTTTAGAAAATAAACTGTTAATGTTGGGTGATTAAACATTTGACTTATAATGAAAAATTTGTTTGGATAATTGTAAATACTTATAATGAATGGATCAAGTTATCTTCCAATACAGAAAACTTAAAGATATTTACAATTTAAATTACAGATTTAATTATAATTACATTGTATTATTGGTTTAGGAATCCAACTTTTTGATTAAGTTTGATACATAAAGATCGAAGATCAAAGATAGTCTTAGCATAGAGGGGAAGTAAAAATACAAAGCAGTTGATTTGGTAAATTTGTAATTCAAAGGATGTTCAAAAGCAATTAGTAAAAATAGACTAAAGTTTCTGAAATAAGAAGCATATTTTAGTTCTTTTTTTTCATTAATACTTACTTAATTTGAAAAACTTAGCTAGAAGTTGAATAAAGGAAGTGATAAACAAGATAAAATTACTCTGGAAATCAAATTTAACTTATCTTCATGTTTCTTAATAATAATCATTTTTTACCTTATCTAAATGATTTTAAGGTATTTTGTTGAAGTTAGGGACTGCCACAGACTGAAAATGGAAAATAAGATTAGATCACAAACACTATATATGTCTTGAGTAAAAAGTTGATTATTAAACGCGAAAGCTTTCTCGATATTCTTATATAAAGTGAGGATAAATATTAATCTAGTTGAGTACTTATTCATAAATTTTTAAGAATATAAGTCTAATAACAACCTAATCTAATATTCTTCCAAATGTAAGAATTACTTTAAGCATTTGAGTTTTGTTATTAGTTAAACTGAAATATAAATTCAATCTAGCTACGTTGTTCACTTCATTTTGAGTTAAATATTTTTATCATGAAATTACTTACATTTCATAAATACTGAGTACAAAAGGTTCCATATTTAAAGATATTACATACAACTCTTCATTAGACTATTTAAACGAATATTTCAAAATTAACCCTATGTATGTTTTAGGTGAGTGTATCCTATAACAGAGATCAATCGGTTCTGGATTAAATTCATTAAAAAACAAACCGTGAATATTGAAGGTACAAAGGGCTAAATTATTAATTTATAAAGAACTTTTTAAAAACTTGAATATGGGATAC